CTCTGGGAAAGAAAATTTCTGGCTAGGACAAAGGCAGCCTAGATGTGGAATTGTGGGACAGAAATCTTTTGGGTGGGTATCTCCCCTGCTTTCCTGCTGCCCCTCCTGCTTTCTCACTTACACCCAAATGGCTGATGGGAACACCAGGGCTCTAGGAACACAGCATGAAGGAGGTTAAGGCAGAGTTGAGATGTCAGGGACCCCAGCATTTGTCGGAGTGCACGCCAGGACTGATGGCAGGTGATAGCCATGCCTTGGGTAGAGTTCACCCTTCTACTCATGAGCCTGTGAGCACTGGCCCAAATTGACCTCTCAGTCCAGAACCAACCTCCGGAGAGCCTCTAAATTTTGGTGAAATTGTCTGCAGTCCTGAGCACACGTTACAAAAGGTGGCCTAGCTGTGAGCTTCCCTTTAGTCTTCGGACTAAAGTTGAGAACTCAGAAACACGGTTCCTTGGTGTATGGGACTCCCGTGTCTACTTGTCCACCCCACCGGGTCATAAGCACACACCCTGAGGCCCTGCGGTTACTCCTGTGATAAGAGGACACTTTATCTCCCTAATACCTCTCCTCTGTGAACAGTTCATAAAAGATCTAGCCTGCAAGCTGCAGAGTCCCCCAGGTTTGAATGATGCCCTTCTCCTGCCTGGCTCCCTAGATCTGCCAGGATAGTCTGAATGACAGGAATGTCCTGTCAAAGCCTTCTCTGGGGAGAGGGTCACTTTTCTGTGGTTGTTCCCCTCTTGGTGGACAGCTTCTCAGTTATCTGAGTGTGTGTTTACTATGGGGCTCTCATTGTCTTCCAGTTGGGGGCAGGAGCTTGGGTTCTGTTTCCAGGGTTGCCTTGGGTAGCTGGGGCCTTGAGTGGGCTTTAAATGCTTCTGTGCTTTGGCTCCGTTGTCCCTTGACTACTTGGGTTGACCTCTGAGACCTCCACAGTGCCTTGGGTCAGAGTCTGAAGTTGTGGGTTTTGCTTTAAGGTCTTGGGGACCCTGAGGAGGTAAGTCACTTAAGGTTTTCCCTTCTTCATGTGTTGTCAAAACCAAAACACAGTAATGAGGGTGTAGCCCCAGAGCAAGGGGAGCTGTATCTCTTCCAACATCCATCATCCGTGGGAGAAAATGGGCAGCAGGTGGATACAGAAGGCTGGAAAGAATGGACAGGCACTGAAGACCGTGTGAGGGTCCTGGGGATAGGGCAGGGGGGAGAGAAAGACCAGTCTCATCCAGCCAGGAGAGGAGGGTGCCAGCTGGAAGACACCTCCTGGGCCCAGAGCCAAGGGCAGCTCCAGTCTCTCAGGGCAGCTGCCTACAGAATGTGGCCAGAACAGTGTCCCCAAAGTGAACCAGAAGCAAGGGGGTGAGGGACCTGGCGAGTGCAAGACTCAAGCTCTGATCTGAACTCAGGTTTACGATTTTGGATGAGTCCCTGACCTCCCCCAGCCTCAGTTTCCCTGCTTCTGAAATCAAGATATGGACATTGTCCTCCTACCTGCTGGGAGGGCACAATGATATCCAGTGTGTTGTGGATGCTTAAGAGGGGTTAATAGCCACTCCCTCCTTTATCATACTTCACAGCTCTTCAAACTTTAAATGGCACATGGTAATTGTGTACATTAATGGGGCACATCATGTGATAATTTAATTCATGTACGTGATATATAGCTATCAAATTAGAGGAGCTTACCATTTCTATCCTATTAACCATTGATCATTTCTTTGCTCTGGCCTCGTGCAGACTCCTCCTGGTCTTAATTAAATATAAGTATGTTGATATGGGGACTAGACATGGCTCGGTTTATAAAGTGCTGCCACACAAGCCTGAGGACCTGAGCTCTGATCCCCGGGCCTACGTGTAAAAACCAGGCATGATAGTGTGTGTCTACGGTCGGATGGGCAGAGACAAATGGATGCCAGGAGCTCATTGAGCAGCCAATCAAGCTGTATCAGGAACCTCCAGGCTCAGTGGGAGATACTCTCAAAAAGGAAAAGAAAAAGATGGTGGAGGAGGCTAGAGAGAAGGCTCAATGGTTAAGAGAACTTACTGCTCTTATATCTTCTAGAGGATCAGAGTTCAGGTCCCAGCACCCAGGCTGATTCCGCCTCCAGGAGATCCAACAACCTCTTCTTGTTGGTACTACGCTCATACTGCACGCATAGCCTCTCCATTGCAGACCTGTAGAAACATAATTAAAAATAGAAACAAAATTTTCGAAGGATACTTAAAAAGAGATGGAGAGCACTTGAGGAAAACACATGACCTCTGGCCTCCATCCATCTGCACACTTCACATGTACATGTGTGTACCTGGATACACATGTACACTACACATACACACACAATAAATAATAAGTAATTAAATAAGAAAAGCTGCCTGTACTGTTATGTGGTTTCCCTCTGGTCTCCACCCCCACCTCCTTCTCAGTCTACATTTATCATGAAGGCCAAGGTCAAATCTCCAAGGCCTAGGTGGGGCACTGACCTAGGTGGGGCACTGAAGTTTGTGTGTGTGTGTGTGTGTGTGTGTGTGTCACTGAGTGACACCCCCAATCTTTGTAACACACTTATCTCATCTGTAAATAATGATGAAGTACCCTGCTAGGCTCAGAACGGTAACTTTTTTTTTTGATTTTCGAGACAGGGTTTCTCCGTAGCTTTTGGTTCCTGTCCTGGAACTAGCTCTTGTAGACCAGGCTGGACTCGAACTCACAGAGATCCGCCTGCCTCTGCCTCCGAGTGCTGGGATTAAAGGCCACCACCGCCCTGCTAGAACGTGACTTTTTAAATGGTAGTGTTGTCTAGACTGCCTCACTGCAGCGGAGGCATGTGTGCAGAAAGGCCACACTCACACGAAAACAAGGCTGGAAGATGCTTCCTCCTGACTCCCAGTTTCTTAGCCATCCTGACCACCAACTTTCTCCAATGAAAATCAGGCTGCACTAGGGTACAAGCGTCACGCCTTCTAAGAACAAACGTTGCCTCTTCCCAGAGAGGGAACCCCCAGACCTGAGCAGAGGGCGTCCTCTAGTATTGCTCCCTGTACCTCTGCCCCCTCCTCCAACAGGACCAGGGCCGAGTTTTCTCCTTGTGACCTTGACTGCCTCAGACTGTAGTAAAAATGTGTTGTCTGCCAGTGAACCTCCCCTGGTGGCCACACAGGGATGGGGAGTTTTCGAGCCTCAAAGCAAGTTCCCAGGAGAGGAGTGGGGAGGGGAGACAGGGACAGGCCAGGCTCTTTCACTGGGCCTAAGGTCAGAGAAGAACCTGCCCTGCTGAAGGGAGAGGGCAAGGGATGCCAGCAGCACCGTGGCCGGGTAACAGAAAGCAAAACAAACTAGCAAATGACAAGCCAAGCGGAAATTCTAGGATGCCCAATTAGTGTTGAATTTCAAATCAATGATAAATCACTTCTTAATATAACTATGTTATTCCTAAAGATATGAAGACCAAGTATGCTATACCTATTTAATGAAATATGACACATTTAGTATTTATATGGAATGTTATTTGTCCTTTATATGAAATCCAGACCTAATTGGGCATCCTATATTTGTGTTTTCATTTAATTTTATTTATTTAGTCAGGAGTGGTGACATATGTGTATTAAAGTGTGAATGTGGAGGTCAATGGACCACTTTTCAGAGTTTGCTGTCTCCTTCCACTGTGTGGGACACGGGGGTAAAACTCAGGTTATCAAGCACAGCGACACGTGCCTTTACGCACGAAGCCACCTTGCCATCTCCCGTGCTCCCTTTGATTTGCTTGTGTTTGCAGGAGGGTCTTGCTGTGCAGCCTAGGCTGGCCTGGAACTCATGATTCTCCTGCGTGAGCCCCTTGAGTTCTAGGATCCCCAGCATTCATCTCCATGCCCAGCTCTCTGGCATCCCGACCGTGCTGCCTACAGTTATAAACCTCTTTGTCGTTTCTAAGTCTCTTTTCACTTAACATCTGTGTCCGATGGACACCTCCCCAACAACTTTCCCACCAAGAAACAAAGCAGTTACCAGGATGGATTGTCCGGCATGGGGCTGAATAGTTAGTGACAAGCTGGCACTCTGGGGTACCCCACCGCATGCCCCATCCTGAGAGACATGGGAAAGGGACACTGTCTTTCCCCGTTCAGTCCCCAATTCCTGGGTGACACCAGGCTGCTTCTTCTGTCTAGTCCTAGATTCTGTACCTGTTCTGGTGGTTCCCCACGAGATACCTGGCTCACAGGTAGGGAGGGACAGTGGGAGGCGGGGGCACAGGTCTCATATTTCTTTAAATAGAAAGTACCCCAGACCTGGAAGCCAGAGAGACTTTGGAAATCACTTAGGTGGCCAGCCAGGGTAGTGAGGCCAGGAAACATCTGGTAATGACACCTTTGTCACAAATGTGACCTTGCGTCGGAGCTTCCTTCTCATAGGCCTGGCAAGTAGAGAGCCTAATCTGAGAGCGAGCCACCTGGGAACTTCCTGCGGATCCCTAGGTCCCCAGGCTTCTTGAATAAGTGCCAGGGGAGAAGGTCATGATCTGTTCTGTATGAGCCCCCTTTGAAAGGCTTCCCTATGCACAGAAGCCTAATAACTGCTTCGGGGAAGCCTTGGCTCCCTGGCTCTGTAGTTTGCAGCTGGGTGGCTGTCTTAAGTTACTATTGCTCTGTTGAAACACCATGGCCAGAAGCAACTTAGGGAGGAATGATCTGGTTTACATTTCCACATCCCTGCTTATCATCAAAGGAAGTCAGGGCAGGAACCTGAAGGCAGAAGCCAGTGCAGAGCCTGTCGAAGGTGCTGCTAACTGGCTTCTTCCCCAGGGCTTGCTCAGCCTGCTTTCTTATAGAACCAAGGACCAGCCCATGGATGGCACCCCCTGTAATGATTCCACATAATGCCCTTCAGGTTTACTGACAGTCTGATCTTTTTTTTTTTTTAAATTTTTCAGTGAATTTTTATTAGGCATTGCATCGTGATTCAGGGTCTCAGGGTAGGGACCATCATATACCCAGGCCCCCTCCCTTTACTGAATGAGGAGAGGACAGTGAACAGAAGAGAGGAGGGTGGAGCCAGGCCAGATCTTCCCAGAAAATGTGCCTTCTGCTCTGCCATCATCCCAAGCTGAGACCCACGGTACGGGGCAGAGGGACTTGTATACATGCTGGTACCACTCACATAAGGAGACATCACCCCCCCCCCTCATGGGGAACTCTGTTAACCAATCACAGCTAATTGGGGCGTGGTGATCTGGACCCCAGGAAGAAAAACTGGGAGATCCAGGTGCTTGCTCTCTCTCTCTGTGGTGCCTGCCGGACAGGCCAATTGTAAGTCGGACCTCCCACTCTTATAATGTGAGTTTGCCCTCTTTAACCATTAAAGTATAACTGTTATTCTTGAGCTAGCCTGGTTATTTATCGTACCGACTTAATTCTCTACCCCCCCCCCCCCCCCCCGCGGTCATTGCCTTCTCGCAGTGGTGGAAGTCCAGATAGTTCAGCCAGCAGTGCCTGGTCTGGTTCTGGTTTGGGAAATGGCTGTCAAAGAGGACAGTTTCGTAGTTCTTGATTTTAGTCTTGATGTCCTCAGCCCTGGTGCTGACTCCTGAAGACTGCCTTGGAGCAGTGGTAGTTCAAGGTGACCCTTAGCCAAGGTGCCAACCCACAGTCTGATCTTATGAAGGCATTGTCCTCTTCTTTTTCCTTTCTTTTATTAAGAATTTTTTAAATACAATCTTTTCTCATTTTACATAGCTATCCCTGTTCCCACTCCCTTTCCTCCTCCCTCTTCTCCACCTTCCCCCCTACCTCACCTCTCCATCCACTCCTCAGAAAGGGTAAGGCTTCCCATGGGGAGTCAACAAAGTCTGACACTTCCCTTCCAGGCAAGACCAAGCCCCTCCCCCCATTGCCTAGGCTGAGCAAAATATCCCTCCAAAAAGAGTGGGCTCCAAGATGCAGAGGCATTTTCTTAATTGAGGTTCCCTCCTCTCTGATGACTTTAGTGTGTGTCAAGTTGACATAAAAACTCTTCAGTATAGCGATGTGACCTAAATCGCTTACTGTCTCTAGGCCTAAGAAATTTCTTCTGCAATCAAGTGTATCAGTGTTAGACCTGGAGAGCCATTTCCAAATGAAAGTCTGTGGGTTAAAAAAAAAAAAAAAAGGTGTAGGGGCTGGAGAGATGACTCAGTGGTTAAGAGCATTGCCTGCTCTTTCAAAGGTCCTGAGTTCAATTCCCAGCAACCACATGGTGGCTCACAACCATCTGTAGTGAGGCTTGGTGCCCTCTTCTGGACTGCAGAAAGAATACTGTATATATAATAAACAAACAAATAAATATTTTTAAAAAAAGGTGTGTATTCAAAAATGTTTCTTTTCCATTCTATTTATTTATTTGTTTGTTTGTTTGTTTGGTTGGTTGGTTTTGCAACAAAGTCTCCCCATGTAACTCTGGCTAGCTTGGAACTTGCTGCGTAGACCAGGCTGGCCTTGAATTCGCAGAGATCCACATGTCTATGCCTCTTCGTATACCACTATGCCTGGCTATGCAAATATTTTCATGAGGTTGGGCACGCCCTATGTGGACGTGTGCACAGCAGCCTGAGATGCCATCACAGAAGGCCTGTTCATATGTGCTCCCTCGCCTTGGTCCTGGAGCCATGGTGGAAGGATGGCCGCTGGATTGAGAGATAGAAGCTGGCAGATGCAGGACTGTATGCCTGGGTTTGGAGGTGCACGGAGCAGGTGGCACAGTCTACATCAGGCCTGAGAGAGCAGATGTTGGGAAAGGAGCCAATGGATCTCATTACAGAGGCTGATTTAGCTAGGCCTCTTCTTGGACCTTCTCTTTCTAGCCATGGTCCTGTGTCCTCAAAGGTCACAACCCTCAGTACCAGACAGGGGGATGCTTGAGTCTAATTGTCATATGACCTTGACACTAGGAGAAGTAGGGTGTGGGCTGGGAGGAGGGTAGCTGTGGCAGAGCTAGGCAGAAGTGCCTTGACTCTGCCTAGCCCTGGTCTCCACCGGGAAAGCCTACTAGAGAGAACCCAGCAGAAAGGCCTGGAATGTCCTGGCTCTCGCTGGCTGGGAACTCCAGTGGGCACTTCTGTGGGCAGAATCCTTCCGTGAGAGGGTGCTATGGCAGACAGGGTGTTTAGTCAGCCCCTGTACCATATCACTTAACCCAGTTTGCTACCTGGCTCAACTCAGGACCAGTGGGGGAGCTCATCCTGAGCCCCAGAAACTCCTTCGATTTTCTGACGTCAAGCAGTCTCGCCTAGGGCAAGTGAATGGAGATTACTGTCACCCAGATGGAGAAAGAGCCAAAGCTTGCCTGAAAGTCACAGGATGCTTCCTCTTAGACAGCGCCAAGGTGACTCTTCTTCTAAAAATAAAATAAAAGCAGTTTTCTTCTCCTGATTATAAAAGTAATAAGCTTCACTTAGCAGCCAGGGGTGGGGGAGTGGATACACATTACATAACGAAGATAAAACTTAAAGACAACCCCCGGCCCCCAAAGCAAACAAGCAAACAAACAAAAATCCCCAGAGGTCTGAGAGATGGCTCAGCAGCTAAAGCTCTGGCTGCTCCTGCAGAGGACCTGAGTCTAGTTCCCAGCACCCACATGGTGGCTCGCAAGCATCTGTGATTCCAGTAGCTCCAATGTCTTCTTCTGGCCCCCAAGTACATTACACACTCATGACTCACTTAGCATACGTGTAGGCAAAAACTCATACACATAAAATATAAGTTAAACAACCAAAATATATATTTATTTATTTATTTATTTATTTACATGGTTTCTCTGTATAACAGTCCTAGCTATCCTGGAACTCACTTTGCAGACCAGGCTGGCCTCGAACTCCCAGAGATCCAGCTGCCTCTGCCTCCTGAGTGTTGGGATTAAAGGTGTGTGCCACCACCACCAGGCTGAAATCCTTTTACTATCAAAGTTCTATGCTAATATTTTTTTTTTAAGATGGCATTATGGTGTACACCTTTAATCCCAGCCCAGCCTGGTCTACAAGAGCTAATTCTGGGACAGGCTCCAAAGCCACAGAGAAACCCTATCTCAGAAAAAAAAAAAAAAAAGTGAAAGAAAACAGACCATTATGTTAAAAAACCAAAGCGACCAAACAAACAAAAAAGGAAATAAATTAGTCACAAAACAGTGAGTCCTGTGCTGGGTGTTTTTATGTCCATTTGACACAAGCTAGAGATATCTGAAAGGAGGGAGCCTCGGTTGAGGAAATGCCTCCTTAAGATCGAGGGCCAGGCTCTAAGGCATTTTCTTATCAGTGGAACAAGGTGGGAGGGCCCCGGGCCCCGCCCATTGTGGGTGGGGCCATCTCTGGGCTGGTGGACCTGGGCACTATAAGAAAGGCTGAGCAAGCCACGGAGAGTGAGCCAGTAAGCAGCACCCCTCCATGGCTTCCGCATTGGCTCCTGCTTCCAGTTTCCTGCCCTGCTTGAGTTCCTGCCCACAGTGCTTTTGATGCTGAACTGTTATATGGAACCGTGAATAAAATAAACCCTTTCCTCCCCTAGCTGCTTTTGGTCATGGTGTTTCATCACAGCAATAGGAACCCTAACTAAGACAAGTCCTATACAATTAGCTCCATATTTGTGGAGGAACAAGGTGGTGAAATTCACAGAAGAGGGAGGAGAATGGGGGTGGCCAGGGGCTGGGCAGTGGGCATTTCACGGGTACAGTTTCTGTTTGAGAGATATAGGAGCGCTGGCTACTCGATGCCAGGATGCTCCAGTGTGAGCCCTTGACCCAAAGTTGCCCTACATCCTTCTCGCCACGAAATCAGCTTATTATTTAATCAGACGGAGTGTCTGCTGGCCGAGACAGTAAGGATAATTGGGAACTGTCCCCCGTGCGATAGTGGATATTTAATGAAAGTGGCAGTAGAAAACAAAATTAGCACTATGGGAAATTGGAGCCCGTGCTCCTTGGCACCCCAGAGCAAGAATGAGCCCCACAGAGCTCCTTGCAGGCCTCCTTAGGCAGCATTCCTCTGTGGCCCGGAATAACTCCAGCTGAGGCCACAGCACATACACCTTCTCCAGATGTTCAGGGTGACAGAGAATAGGTGTCTGGAAAGACACTAAACAGGCCGTCAGGAGACTTGGGATCCAGGCCAGAGTCTGGGTAACTGCCCTATTTAGCTTTCTATTGCCGTGATAAATACTATGAAGCCAACTTGGGGAGAAGGTCAAAGGCAGGGGGAAATGAGAGCTGGAACTCATCTCACAGGCCACAGCCCATCGTTGAAGGAATTCAGAGTAGTAACCCAAGCAGGCCAGGACTTGATGCATAAACCACGGAGGAATACTACTTACTGGATGGTTTCCAGGCCCACCAGCCCAGGGACAGTACTGAGCAGAGTGGCTGGGTCCTCTTTCACCAATTGCAATCAAGAAAATGCCCCTACACACACGCCCACACATGACCAGTCTGATGGAGCCAATTCTTTAACTGCACTGTCCGCCCTCAAGATTAGCCATCATCACAGTGACCTTAGGCAAGTTGTCTGATTTCCCTGGACCCTTCATCTATAATATAAGTGAGGGCAGGGGAAGGAGGGAAGTGCAGGCATCAAAAAAGGTATCTTCTCACACATCTGACCTTCCACTATGTGATGCTTGAGAAGACACAGCTGCTGAAAGCCTGGCTGGAGATGTGGAAGGCCCCAAACTGCTATTTCCCTATTTCCTGAGCATTTTATTTGTTGTTTGTTTGTTTTTGAGGTGTTTTGTTCCTTCCTTCCTTCCTTCCCTCCTTCCCTCCTTCCTCTCTCCCTTTCTCTTTCTTTCTTTCTTTCTTTCTTTCTTCCTTTCTTTCTTAAGTTCTATGAGGCAGGCAGGGTAAAGCGCAGGTGGGGTTTTTTCCAGCACAGGGTGTGCCCCCTTTAGCCTTGTTCCTAAGGCCTCTGACACTTCCAGAAGATGGACAAGAGCTGTTGTCACACAGGTCTTGGCCCCTGATTGCACAATACAGCATGCAGCTCAACTGGTGACCAGAGTAATACCAAATCTCTCGGTGACATTCTTTTCTACAACCTGTCAGGTTGATGATGCTGCATAGGTGAGTAGCCAGAGCTGGAGAGATGGCTCAGCTGGTAAGGACAATTGCTGCCGGGCCTGGTGACCTGAGTTTGCTATGTGGGAAATGGTGAAAGGAGAAACGGACTCCTGTTCTTGTCCTCTGACCTGCACAAGTGTGTTGTTTTAAGCACCCTCCACGCCAAACACAAAAATAAAGTGTAATGAAATTTTAATAGGAGAAAAAAAGAACAATCCTAGAATCATCTGAGAAGAGAAAAAGATCATGACTCCTCTACCATAAATAGCCTGCAGCCATTGAGTGTGTATTTTTGTGTGTCTCTCCATGTGATATATGTGAGCGCGTGTTATACACTCGCAGTGCACGCACCCTTGCTAAAAAGTACATTCAGAGGCCAGAGTACATCTGATGTCATGCTCCACCTATTTCCTTTAGACAGGGTCTCTCACAGAGCCTAGGGCTAGCCTGGCAGCCAGCAAACCCTAGCCATTTGCCTGTCTCTGTCTCGTATAGCACTGGTCTTACAGGTATGCATGTGGCTGTGCCTGCCTCAAAAAAAAAATGTTGATGTTGGGATTACAGGTGCATAAACAGCTTCACCTACCTTTTGAAAAAAAAATATATATATAGACCCTGGAAATTCGAACCCAGCTCGGTGTACTTGCATGGCAAGCTCATTTAACCATTCTCTAACTTCCAAAGTGTATTTTAGTCTATAGTCCCAAGATTCAGGAGGCTGAAGT